CTCAAATTTATATAAATAATTTTTAATCGATATAATTATCATGTAAGTTTATTGGTTAATAATTAATTTTACACGTATTATATCATAGAGAGAAAGCCAACCTTATTATACTACTGTTTCTTCTTCTTCTTCTTATTTTTATTATACGAGCACACATATTAGAGTAGTTGTAGTGGAGAGACATGCATGAAACATTTGATTGAAAAAGAGAAATAATCAAGTGATAAATGATGGAACTTTGAAAAACAATATAATGTTTTGGAAATGATTGATGAAAGAAAGGAAAGGAATTTGCATGGGCAAGGCAACCTAGTTGGTGTTAAGTATATCACTACAATAATATGCACTTAATATTGCCAAAAAGAAAATGCTAAGGAAGCAAGTAAGAACTTTGACATCCAGGGTTATCATTACTTACCAGCTTTGGAAAAGTTGACACCAAAATTTTCAAAATCCAAAGAATACAAGATAAGAGTGGAACCCAACTTGGAAACAATCTTCCTCTGCTCATGAAAATGTGAAGTAGTTATCAACAATAGAGTGAGTCATGTTCATCATTATTTTCATTCAGTTTTGACCTTTTGGGAAACCTCTTCATGAGAATGTGCCCTAGTGGGTTCCTCTATTAAACATCAACGTTTTTATTCAACATGTTTAATAGTTTGTTTATGAGAAGATGCTTACAATTTTATTTATTCAACATATTATAATTTTGAGTTTTGTTGTGTTGATGGTGTGAGGGGGGTAACGTAGGGCAAAAAAAAAATGGAATTGCACTCAATTAAACACATGTTGGTGAGTATGGAGGATGAAGGAGGAATGGATATATTGGAAATAGCCTCATTGGAAAACACTTGTTCCCTTTCTTCACAAATCCTAATCATGTTGGAGGGTCCACTCACCACTCACCACTCACCTAAATATATTGACTGTGCTCTTTGTCTTCTTTTACTTTGTTTGAAAAAGGTTAACTTTTTAATGGAAAGAAATGGTATGGAGAAGAAATGGAAAAAGATTGAAGATGAAATAGAAATGGGTACTTGAGGAAAAGGAACAATAATGATGGGTGGAATGTTTTTTCAATTCGTATTTGGTAATCTCTTTTTCACCATTGCGTAATGGAGGAGAGCCTATACTTTCATATTCATTAATCATACCTCAATAACACTTTGTTTCTAATATCTATTCAAATGTTATTATATATATTATATCACTCAATAACAAGTTATTACATGGTCTATTCCATACTATCAAACAATAGATACATCTAATCAAAATTCATATATAAATTCAAAAACCTAAGAATTCATTCAAAACATATACGTATAATAATTTCAAAATATATAATAATCTATCAAGATGAGAAATATTAAGGTGAAAATAGAAGAGTTGATATGATTTAGTGAAGATAAAATTGCGTATAAAAGAAATTTAAAAATCAAAATTAAAGATAATTAAAAATTAAGGGATTAAAGTTTTTAAAAAAGTTAAGAGTCAAAATTTGTAAAATACAAAACCAAAATTGTAATTAATTTAAATAATAAAATAGGTGCAAATTAATAATGTTTCAAGAACTTACAAAGTAGTTTCATGGCATTTTCTACGTGTTTTTACAATTTATATGTAGTATTGGAAGATTTTAGTGTTAATATTTTTTTAAATAAATTTATTTATAAAGTAACAGAAATCGCACAGAGGTGATACGATACTTATTCAATCAAATCTCTTAAATTGATAAAGAAAAAGAAGATAAAAGACACGACGTTTTGGTTTCAAAGACACTTGATTTGAAATAAAGTTCATTTTGATATTCTAATCTTCGATGATATTTCCACGTAAAATTAAGTTTCAATTCTTTTTTTACCCTCATGTCAACTTTACTTTTTTATTTATTTAACATATATAAATTATATTTTAGGGCAGCATAAAATATTTATTAAATGAAATCCACTTCGATTTTATATTATTGCTATCAAACATAATATTCATTTTCTTTTCAAATTATTGATTACTTAAAGAAGAAAATGTTTGGACAGGGGAATATTAAAATACTATTTCAATTTTAAATTGATAGAAAAAAATTAAAATAAAGTAATAAATTTATTCCAAAACTAAATATTAAAGTTTAATAACTATTCCCACAACATTATTAATTAACCATGCTGAAATTTTAGTGTATTGTTGTGAGTTGTAATTTTCCTTAATTCTCACCCTCCTTAGGCTGCACTTATACTTTCTAAAACTAGACATTGGCAAATGAAGTAAACGCTCCTTACTTTAACATAGAATTTTTTTTTTTTTTCCAACTTTTCTAAACATGAGGAAAGCCCTTGTTACGGTACTAATAAAAAAGACAGATGATAAAGATAATTTATCGAGATATTTAATGTCATTCAAAATATTTATATATTATCTAAAATATTGGATATTATTAGTGATAATAGATACATAATTAATAAAAATAAATAAATATTTCATAATTTTTTAATAGTTATATTTAGGTAAAAATATGTCGAATTAAAGGCAGAAACTTGAGAGCATCAATGGAGAAACATTTACAAAAGAAGAGAAAATTGTTATGGCTGTTCTTTACTCTGAATCATTTCTACGTACTCTTAAGTTTTAAGTTGATTTATTCATTACACTTAAAATGGAGGTTAATAATAACATGTATTTATTTTCTTTCTTTTTTAACTTACTGAATCATAAAGCATCAATATTATGATCTTAATTTACGTTGAACCTTTGTATAAGTTGTTTATTAAAAATCAGAGAATGAAAGAAAAAAAATAGGGACCTCTAATTATTAATTGATGATCTTTTCAATTTAACCAGTTAAATTTTTGTTTTTTATTTAATTAAATTATATTCTATAATACTCTTAAAACTCATTTCCTAACAAATATATATTAATATATTTTGTTGACAAATTTTAGAATGTACCATACTTATTTTTTAAGAATCAACCCAGACTATATTGTAATTATATATATATATATATATATATTTTTTTTTTTTGTAGTTGTTTTTATATTAGTCCAACTGAAATTTATTTTTCAAATTAGTAAACATGTTTGAATTTAAAAATTGTATACAAACATATAAAATAGGTCTTGAAGTTTAATTTATTTCTAATGAAAGAGTGTAGCTATTAAATAATTAAGGAATTGTGTGGTAAACGAAGGATGATGATGATGATGATGAGGAGGAGGAGGAGGAGGAGGAAGGTGGTGTGGTGAATGAAAGAAGAATGTAAGAAATAGAAAAGGGTTTGCATGATGTTTGTGGATGTGAGGTTTTGTTGGAGGGGTTTATGATTAATTTTGTGACTTTGGAGGAGGAGAAGGTAGAAAAGAGGAGTTTATGAGAAAGGCAAGGAAAGTTGGGAACCTGTCTTCTGGTCTGCCCTAAAAATAGATACCAACTGCTTTTTGCAGGACCAATAACTGGCAAAAGTAGTTGCAGTTGCAATTCCAACTTCTTTTAACCATCCTACTTCTTACCCTCACATCATTTTTAAGCTTTTCATCTCTCTCTCTCTTTTTTTCTTTTTTTTTTTCACACTCTATATTATTACTTCAAAATTATACTATCAGTTAGTCAAAATGAATATGTTGAAAAACACTCATGCCGATTTAAAAATCTGATTTTGTTAATTTTCTACTAAACATTTTTAACAAAGTTTTCTTTTTTTTTTCACCCACCCTTATTTGAGAAAATTGGATACAGTAGCAGTGATAGGTACCGAGTGATAAAGTAGTGAAAGAAACAGTTTTATCTAACTTGTTTCTATTTGATGAGAAAAGAATATTTAGTGAGTATAATATTAGAAAAGAGATTCCAAATATAGAAAAAAAAAGTACTTTTTGCAGAAAGCGAGTGAGGGTGTGTGAGATTCAGCAGTGTGTGGCAACAAAAAATATCTTCTTTCACTCTTGCCCATGATGGATGCCTCCACCACTCTCTTTTCTTCTGTGCTGTGGCCCCCCAATCATAACCACGCGCACTCACACACTCACCTTTCAAACCCACCATTTATTGGAAGGTGTCATGCACTCACACACACCACTATATTTCTCTTCCCCTAATTAACATGTTCAAGCTCTGAGATTGACATCCATATATTTTCTTTTTAATGCCATTTATATATCTATTAAACAATTTTTATTTATCTAATATAGATCTGTTTATACTTTATCATAATAGGTAATCTAAGTGAGAGAGAGAGAGAGTTGGAGGAAACATTAAGAAGTTTGTATCGAGATAATCTTCAGAGTGAATCTTATATCATCTCCCTCGATCGATTCTTCCTCACTTATGCAATGGCGAAACCAATTGAGTGAAGAAATATTCACTCAAGTCATATTTACCAAGTCATACACATGGACATGGTAAAAAGTTGCTATACATTTAAATGTATATATAGTTGCAGAAAAATATTGAGAAACCCGTTCAAAGTATCAGTTTGTGCATGTATTGATGTTTACTTTGAGTAAATAGAGGCAAGTTGATTGATGAACGGCGGAGGAGCGCAGGTGTGACAAGGTGAGAGCTTTACATTGGTTGCAGTGGCCCCTCCTCAGGCCTAATCTTGGTTGATAGTGATACAAAGATTGCCCCTTGCCAATTCCAATCTTCATAGGTCCACTTCCCCATCAAACTTTGCTGCATTATAGGAGAGAGAATAACCTACACTTCCATCCATTAGTCAACATTTTCTTTATATATATGCTCTCACTTTATGGAATCAAATGACTATGATTGATATTTATTACTATTCTTATTCATCACTAAAAAGTTTAAAGAGATCATGCATAATAATAAATTAGAGAAAGTGTTACCAGAATAATCACATCTTTCTTTTTATCAAAAGGTCAACAAGTTTAGATAAATTACAGCATCAATACATTTTTTTTATAACAGTTATTCATCAATAAAAATATTTTACTGTGAAATTTTAAGTTCTTTAGAATCAAATTGAATAAGTTATATTAAAAAGTTTATTCAATCTAAAAAAAAAAAATTATTATTAGATATTTTTAATTAAATTGATTAGTGACTGGTTTTATCACCAACAAGTCTGATATGATTTTCAAAACACAGTTCCTACGCATTTTTATAACAGCAGTGTTTGGAGCAACCTTTGTGGACGAAAAGGATGACATCTAGCTGAAATATAACAGCAGCAGTGTCACCTTGCAAACCAAAAAGCAAGCAGCAGAAAGCTGGAGAAAAATCAAGGGAAATATATATAATATAAAAAAGATTGTCCAAGGAAGAAGAAAGAAGGAAAGTCTGCATACGATATCATACTGGCGTGTGTACTTGGTCTAAAGCTTTAGGTTTGATGTTGTTTTGGAAAATTAGTTTCCAAAGAAAGTGTTTGTTTGAAGTAGTTTATACTCTCGAAAAAAAGTATCTTGGTTTGAACCAAACGCACGTTAAAACGAATCTGAGTCCTAGCTGTAAACTTGTTGTTTCAGTAATCCATGTGAGTGTACCGACCAATGAGTGCAGTTTTGAGTGTGATTGGAAAAGACAGTATGAATTGATGGAGAGGGCATCGAAGAAAAAGATGATAAATGTATGCAGGGTATTCCAATCTTATTATGGACAAACACCCACAATTTGATTGATTTAAAAGCCTCACCAGATCACAGATCAACAACTTACCAACCTTTTCTCCAAATCAAGATTTCCAGTTTATGAACTGCCCCACTCTTCTTCTTTTTTTCTGTCAACTCAGTCTTCAAACTCTATTTCATGCGATTTTTTCTACACCTATTATGTCATCCACAACTATCTTCAACAAAATATATCATCTCTCTCTCTCTCTCTCTGCGTTTTAAACATGGATACACAAACTATAAAGGAGCTAACTATAATTTTATAATACTCGTACTTTTCATTTATTTAACTTGTACATTATTATCATTATATATTATTTTAATTGTTTTATTCTTTTATAAAAGATTCAACAACTACAAGTACGTTTGGAACAAATCATTATATTTTATTTCTCAGTTTTTGTGCACATGTAAAACATGAGTATGTTTGGAAAATATATTAAATGCTGCAAACTTTAACTTGGCTGATTGAATTGAAAATGTTTGTTAAAATTAACGGATAAGGTCGCCATTAGCCCACAAAAAAACTACTTTTATTTCAAACTCAACTAAAAATATCTGAAGATATTATATTATATTAATAATTGAATAATACAATAATAAAACTAAATAATATAACCAAAATATTTTATTTAAATAAAAAATACAAGAGTTTAAAATTAAAAAAAAAATACCCCGAGACATATATACTTTTATCAATTAAATTAAAATTTATATATAATTATATTTAAATATGTCAATTTTCATCATCATATAGTTTTATCAAACGATAATTTGACTAAAGACTTTACAGTATCGATTATTAATGTCACGTGGAACTCTGCAGTGTCAATAGCATTTTCAAATTTGTTATTGACAATACAATATAAATCTCGTAATATAAAAATAATAAATAAATAAAACTAATACTGAAAACTCGAGTCAACGTTGACTGTTACAATCTGTAAAATAAAATTAATAAAAATTTGAATATTAATTAGACCAATTTTTTTTTTCTTTTCACGCACAAATTACCAGATTAAAATTCTTTTGAAACATTTACGAAGCTACGATAGTTAAAGGCAATAAAAATCTAAGTTTAGAGTATGTAGCGTCACGTAATATTTTTATTGTGAATGGGATGAGTGAAATTAAATAATTATAATGAACTTTCTAAACTTTTCCTCCTAAAAACACGTATTAGAAGAAGTGATTAATTAAAAGCATGTGATTAGTGAAACCTACATTATTAATTAATAAAGAGAAGAATATAACAGGAAGCAGCAGGCTTTTTTCTACTTTGTCTAGTACCTTAATTAACAAGCTTTCCCATCAATGGCTCTCAAGAAAGAAATTGCTACAAAAGCTGAATGATGGAGACATGCATGCATGTATATAATATAGTTGGAATGGATAATTGGTGTATATATAAATCTCCCAAAAACTGAACATGGTAAACGTAGAAAGAGGTTGCAGGACCACAAGATAATATTAGGTTTGATGGAGAAAAACAAAGACGTGCATGTGCAGGAACTAAGATGTACCTCTAGGGTTGGTTTCATGCATTAACAAGTGAATCAAAATTTAATTTGTTTCCCCCAAAAGCAAACCAGGGTGTCCTTCTAAGATATAAACTGGCCATTTGTCATTGTGTCCAACAACACATATCTCTTTCTACCTTTCTCATCATATACTTGTGGCAGAGCAACCATATTTGCTTAAAGCTGAAAGAGTTTGAAAGGGATTGAGATTTCCCATTTAATAGAGAGAGAGAGAGAGAATATTTACATGGTCAAGTATTTATATTAAACATTAAATTACATTTTCTATCCTAAGAGATAAATAAAAATATATATTTTCCCTTTTGTGATTCCATCTGATATTATTGTATAAAATGGTGGAACATGGAGTCATCTCAAATACTATTAGGTAGGAAAACAACAACAGATACGGATTGTCAGCATATACCTACCAAAAAAATGTTAGCATGATTAGTAAAATTGAAAAGTGAAATGAAAAATTACACCAAATTTTAATCTTGATTTTAAGAAAGTAATCAAAAATTCATTTTTCCAATTTTAAGAAAAATGATATATCATCAAATACACTTTGTTGTTTGAAAATTTGTAGAGGATTTTTTTGGTGAGCATATTATGTTACTTTACTTCTAATAATAATAATAATAATAATAATAATAATAATAAAATTGGAAGTTGTCACGTCAACAACTTTTTTCTCTGTGTATGTGTGTGATGTGAGTACTAAGTTGTAAAGTAGCCTGTGGCTGCTATGCGTAGATATTTTGTGTTAACTTACAAATTAACCACAGTAAATGAATAATTGTGATAAGATATTTACCACTCATGTCAATTTCTTTCGTCCACACATTCAAAGTACATAATTCACCGTTTATTTTATTATGAATAATAAGTTTCTATGTTTTAAATTACAAAATCATACGTTTTCACGTGTCTGGATCAGACAATGTATTTAAGTGATTGAAAAATACAGAGTTGGAGGGAATGATCGGGCAAAGTTGGGTTGTTTGAGTTTAGGGAAAATATCATAAGAAGTGTAAAAAAAATTAAGAACAAAGTTTATGAGTTTATAAATAATTTTAATTTGATTGATATAAATGATAAAAAATATTTTAATGAAAAAATTATAAAATAATTAAATTATCTTTTAAATAAAAATTATAATTATAATTATTATAATTTTAAATATTATATTTTTCTTATTTATTTTTATTTTAATTATTATTATAAAAAATGATTTTTATTAAAATAATTATTAATATAATAATTATTTATATATTTATTATTATAAATATTATAATTATATAAATTATACTTTATTTTAATTATTAATACAATTATTTTTATTATTAAATTTATTAATATAATAATAACAATAATTATTTATATATTTATTATTACTATTAATCTAACAATTATTTCTTATATTTAATAATAATAATAATAATAATAATAATAATAAAATTAATTTTATTATTATTATTATCATTAAAAAGGGTGAAAATCAATTCTCCCGTTTAATAATAATATAAAAAAATCAATTTTTATAAATAATTGATTCTCTATTTATTATATGCGAACAAAAATCAAATCTCATTTAAATTAACTGTCAATTTTGATAATAATAATCATCTAGAATTGGAATCAACATTAGACAAGAATTGATTTTAACCATGAAAATAATAAAAATTGCATGAATAACATCAACATTATCGTTTGTTAAGAATTGATTATTATTTATTGAGAATTAATTATCATTTATTGAGAACCGATTTTCTACAAAGATTTTTTATATGAAAAAGTTTTTCCTATGTGATCACTGTTTTTGAATGTCATATACAACAATTTCACATCAAGACGGAGAGGGCAAAGAGATAAATATATATTGGATGAGTTGTATTTTTCAAATAATCTTTTTGTTTAAGTAGAGACATTTTTATGACACTTTCTCCTATCAATGCTTGTACATCTTCTTAAATCACTTGAAATAAATATGGATCATTGTTGCTTTTCCATTTACGTGAATAATAAATCAATGCAAAGTTTACCAAGAGAGAGTGAAATAAGAAGAAGAGAAATATAATAAAAAAAATTGAAGTTATTTTGATTGGAAAGAAAATAATGAAAAATAAGAAAAAAAATGAATAAAAAGATGATAATCAACAAAATTGATTTGAATGATAAAAATAAAAATAAAAATAAAAAAATAAATAATTAATAAATGATCAAAATCTTCTTAATGTAAATTTAATATAAATAAATATCAATATAAATTTAAATATAATTTAATATAAATAATTATTTAATAAAATAGATAAAATTAAATTAAAATTAAAATTAATTTATATATACTTGAAATTATTTTTTTGATATATTTTCAATATATTTATATTTTAAATTTTTTTATAATAATTTATGAATAGTGTTAAATTATACAAATTATTTAAAAAAATACAATGAAAAGTTTTATTAATTAAGGTTAAGACATGTGTAGTTGGTAGAAAGAAATGCATGTTTTTTGTAAAACATATAGGATGTAAGATGGGTTTGAAGATAAAGATTATAAAGATGGGTTTGTTGAATGAGGTGATAGAAGGAGAAAACGCACATAATGTTGGGACAGGAAGATGCGTTGACAGTTGCAGATGGTATTGCTGGGAGGGAGCGAACAGAATGATGATCATTACATGAAAGGTGTCGGAGAGGGTTTGGCGATGGAAAAAGAAGAAAAAAAGAATAATAAATAAATGTAATGGGCGAAGCATGAAAGGGACAAGATGCTGCTCCCGTGACCACATGGTCGAATAAGGTACACAAGATAGAAGGGTCCCAACGTCATTAAAAAGGTGGGGTTTGTTTCCATAATCCTACAAAATATAAATATATTAATTATTCTCTTTTTATTTTACCATATCATCACACGAACATCTTTCTTGCAATTTTTCACTCCTTATATGTAAACACATTATTTTGTGTATTAGTTTTTGGTATCTTACTTTATAAATATTTTATGATATCTTATTTATGAAGAGGGGAAATATACAAAAATAAAAATAAAATAATAGTTAGTGTAAAATTGTACCTTGGGAAAAAGAGGGGAGAGGAAAGAAATATCAAAAGCAGTGAAAAATAAGAGAGAGAAAATATAATATGCATTAAAAAATAATAAAATAATAGTTTATATAATTTTCAATTGTACATTTATGTATATATGACTTCTCTTGATCTACATTGACAAGGATGAGATGGAAGGAAGAAAAAAAGACAGTGATCTGGTCCCCAGCAAGACCCGCAAAAACAACAATATACCAATCTACATAAAATATTTAATCAAAGCAAAAAATAATAATTAATCATTCTAGTTGATTGAGTAAAGGTTGCGAAAGACTAAAACGATAGGAAAACAATGATGACGATGAGATATGAAGCAAAAATAAAGTGAATGGAAGAAAAAGAAATAGATAAATAAAAAAGTTGAAGTTAACATTATCTACCAAAATGAACATACATGGATGCATACACAATAATAATACAAATAATGATATCATTTTGATTGGTTTCTTATCCCTACAGAATCAGAGAGTAAGTAACATAATTTTTGTTTATGAATAGACTCAACTTGTGACCATCATTTGGTCTTTCATGTTCCACTGTTGACACAGTGAATCGTCCCCACTCAGAGAGCATGGTTCAGTTCAGCTTTAACACCCAACACTCTGCAGCTTGGAAAGTCATTGCATTGCATGACCCCCAAAAATAATGTACGAGGTTTCTTTGTTTAAGGTTCAGTGAGATCATCTAAATTTCCACATTCATACATGCTCATTAACATCCTTGGATGCAATCATATCAGAAAAAATAAAATAAAAAATGGGATCGCTTACATTATGTGTTTTCAGATATACTTTCTTTAAGATTTAAAACGATCCCATCACAATACTAAATGTGTTTTTCTTCCTTTTCTTGTTAAATGAAGTTGAGTACTTGTGTACTTGAGAGATGAACGAATCGTGATTGCAGAGAAAAATGGGGTAATTAAACTTCTTCCATGCATGTAACCCTAGATAATAGATTGACAAGAAATGCATACAGCGACTAGGTTGGATTTTAATATTTGGTTGGGGAAAACATCAAACCAGACACAGACTAGATCCCAAAAACGCATTGCTTTTTTGGGTTCTTCCTTTACCTATCCATTACTTTTCAAGCTTTTCCTTGCAATTTCTCGTAATTGTCGTGACATAGAAGCCATGAAACTAGCAAAACACAAGAATACGTTCGTATGGGACATCAACCTTCGGGACCCACCTTTCTTTCTATCTTCGGGTTATGATGTAAATCTATCATCTGCACACAAATCGAACAACTAATATCAATTCCACTTTATCATATTTTATCACAATGTTACTTTAATTGAAAAGGAAATACAAAACTTTCTCCACTGTCATTCTTGTAAGACCATAACATCTTTATGGGTTTGTTTTATTGTTGATTTTTATTATGTACTCAAGATGTTTGGTTTACATTGTTCTTTATCACGAGTGGTTATGTGCAATAGGTTTTCTTTTTCTTTTCCTTTTCTTTTATATTTAGAAATGAGTGTGAACTTGTAAAAAGAAAAATTACATCTATTACTCTACTTGTAATTATTGTCATTATCATGTTATCAACATATCCTGTAATCATTTTGATATTATCTTTTTAAAATTATAGAAAAATGCGTATGTTCATAATTTCTTCTATTTTTTTCTCTGTGTCAGATCTTACAAAAGATAGAACCCTAGAGCTTTTAAAGATCTTCTTTTCTAATGTTCTTTTAGTTTTATTTACAATAATTAAAATTTTAATCTTTATTTTATTTTTAAATAAAAATAAATATAAAATAAACAAGTTATAATAGAAAATTATAAAATAAAACAAAAGATAACTTCTATGGAGTGCTCTAAAATTAATTTATTTAGACTTAATTTACAACAAGTAACATTAAATCCCCTAAAATATTAAGAAAATTTTAAATAATACTATACATCCTATATCAATATAAGACGTTCTCTATTATTGCAATTCAATTAAAATTTTGCATATATAATTTATACGGTAAAACATTATAATTTAGTGAGAAGAAAGGGATAAAACTGTTGAAATCATGTAATATAATTTTTTATGAAAAAAAGAAAAAGGAAGACTGTAATCATGTTTATATAATCGATTATATTATAAAAAAAATGATTATGAGAGACTCATGGTTAATTAGGAGTAATTTATAGTTATTATGAGTATTTTTCCATTATAAAGATAAAATTACAAAAATAATATATATTAAACATAAGATTTTTCTTTCTAAAAATTGTTATTCCTTTAATATGTTATTGTCATTTCCTTTCTTATTCCCCCACCTTCTTTCATACCATTTAAATATCACCCAAAGGAAGCATTGATTTATTTTGTTTAAAAAATCACGTAATGTGAAAAATGTCATAATCAACTCTAAGCCGACGAAGTAGAGATTAATAAATGAAAAGAAGAAAAGGTAGAAACAGCGACCAAACACTGTCTAGATTGATTCGATGGAGCAAATATATGATTACGCAAAATGTGTGTACCTTAGAAGCACTAATTCATGCGTGCCTTATCAAGAACAGAGAGATTTGGACTCCATTAGATTTTATTATTCACTTTTCAGATCAAAAAGGGGTCCCCTTTTAATTTCAATTTGGACTCCATTAACAACTTGCATAGATTCTAAAACCCTATCACCAAGTATCGCACCACAATGTAATCTCATCATAGTTAATGGATAGTTTTTCCAGTAAAGTTATTGAATAAACCTTTAAATTTTAGCATTTATTATCAACCAATACAATAAAACTTTCATTTGATTATTTTTCTCCATTTTATGTTGTACAGTGTAGTATTTATTTTAAAATAAGTTTCAACTTCTGGCATGTAAATAGATGGAATCTCAATTCTGGTGGCCTAATTAATTTGATCGTGGAGTTAAGCACACGTTGAATAAATTAGATATATATACAATAATACAACAAATTATAATTATAATTGTAAACCCAAATTATGTATTGTAAAGGTTAATTGATTTTGATTTGTTTAACTTTTAAGCATGCACGTCAATCTAATGGCAGTGCAGTGGATGGCTTATGTCAAATCAGACCAAATCAGATTAAAAGATATGCAAAGTTTAAACGTTATTAGTGATGCTTACAAAATTTGTCATCTTTTCATTATTATAATTGATACCCCTCGCCACCATATCTCCAAATGTTTAAATATTATTTTCTAGTTTCTATTGCAAATCCAAATTCCTTTTGAAAACGATATTTAGATACTCGCTGAGGTAAGACATGGTGGGTAAAGTGAAAAAACACTTGTGCTCTCTTTGTTTCAAGATAAAAGTAAGTAAATGTAAATAAAAAGAATGAGTATAAAATATAAAAAATTTTAAATATTTTATTGAACAGAAAAAAAATAAAAATAAACGAATGAATAGTAATAGGGTAGTAGATCTTATTATTATTTTTTGTTAACACATCATCTAAGTTTATTTTATGTGTATAAAAACTTAATTTAAATTAAATCTAAGTACAAGTATTTTGATGTGATGATATTTTAGTGCTAAATAAAATAATTTAGTAATTTTTTTTTATATAAAATACCATTTATTTAAAACTTCCATTTTTTTATTTTTTAATATATTTTCTTTCTCTCTTTTTTTTTTATCTAAGCATTTATTTAAAACAATCTTATTCAACTAAGTTTTTAATAGAATAAGGTTTTCTTTGAATTTTTTGTTAGTATTTTGTATGTGAGTCTCAAGGTTTTTCCATGTATAAATTATTAGACAAAGATCAATTTTGGATAATATATTAAATTTGTTGATTATGATTTTTTTTTTATTAGCAATATTTGGGAAGCATTTGGAGATGGAGCATATTAAAAGGTAAGAAAAAGCTAGTTTTCATTTTCTTAATACCTCAATCCATATGCTTTAGACGTGTGAATGTGACTTGTTAATGTTTGAATTACAGAGATTATGATTAATTTTTGTGTTGATTTACTAGAATTGGATTATATTTTTATTTGAATTGATATATTGTGATGTAAATTAAGTTTTGTAGTTTGGTAGGTGCAATTATTATAGATTACTGAAAATTTCAATAGAAATATACGTTAGGATTGTATTGTATGTGTTTTGAATTTAGTATGAACCTTTTCTAAACTCTACTATATTTGTATAATTTAGTTAAACGACACCTTATCGACTCGCAATGTAGCAAAATTTAAATATGTTATATTTTTGCTTAAGAGATAATATTTTTTGTTAAGCAAAAATACTTTAGAGAAAAATGAAAATAAAAGAGCATAATTTACTCAAGCAAGGATCCTGATAGTAGAATTTGATTGTGAATTACAATCATGTATGATTTACATGTTTTAGTGTGAAAAATGAGATGTTGTGTTTTGAGGAGGATGAATGATATCTTATAATATAGTGAGTAATAGATGTTTCTATATGCATTGAATTACAAATTTAATAAAAGATATTGAAATTTTATTAATTATTATAATCCCATAGATGAAATGGATTGTGTGGTAAAAATTAAAAGAATTTTATTTGATTTGATTTAAGGTATATTTATTCGTTAGTCATAGGTAAGTTTATAAAATTTTCTATATTACATGAGAGTGTGTGTACTTCTTATATAAATTGTTAGGATTTTTTTTTGGGCAAGTGTATCTAGACAATAGTAAATGATAAAAAGATTTTCGTATATATTCAAGATGATCAGACTTAAAAATTTACTTAAATTTGTAGAGGACTGTAAACTCGATTTATAGACTTATAAAAGTTTACTCCATACCAAAAATATCAATTTACAAAAAGTATAAGCATAGTAATATCAACTTTACATTACTAAAATAAATAATACATAATATTTATTTCATATTTTTTCATTTTCCAAAATATCTACTCCATATTTCCACTAAATATTTGTTTCATTTCCTATTACATTTTTACTTATATGTGGAAGTGAAAATATAGCTATATTCTCTTCATGACAACTTTAATTGTGAGTAGCGCATGCAGCAATGGGTAATGTGACCAGCGAACAACGTGACTAGTGTAATGGCGAGAAGGGATAAAGAGTATAGAACAAACAACGAAAACAAATTTACTTAAAAATTTGTTTACTGAAAAGTTAACTCTCGTGACCAACCACTACACTTCTTAACTCACCAATTTCATAACCCTTATCATGTTCATAAGGACTTTAAATATGATAAAATAGTTGTATAGAATAAATTGGTAAACATATATAAAAAACAGTTATATAATGAAAAACATAATATAATATAAGATAAACGGTTGAAATTAAAATTCACTAATAAATACTCTATAACCTATTATTTAGAGATACATAAATCAAACTCTTAGTTTTAAGTTCAACATTTTATTCCAAATTAATTCTTTAATCTTTGAAGTTCTAAGATTCTAGACTATGGGTCAATCCCTTAGACAAATAGAATAAGATCCTTGCATTAATTATATGAATTTTGCATACTAATATTCTTAACTTTGTTCCCAATAGATAAATTTAAAGGTTGTTTTACTGAAATTATTTTCTAATACCAATCTATCTGAAATTAGATTTATGAAAATTCAAGAAGTAAAAATAAAACCAAATCAATATAAAATTTATATATGTATGGAAGTAAGAGTTAAGATTGAAGCCACTTTAAAAAAAATATTGATGCATACTCAAGACAAATAATAATAATAATAAATTAAGAAATAAATAATGATGCAGATTTAAAAAATAAAAAATTCTAACTTTATTTTTAAATTGTTTTAGTAAAATCTTAACAGAACTTTTTTTAAGACAAACTGTGAACATGTAAATATTAGCTAAATTAGATTATATCTATATTTAATTAATTTATATTTTTTTCCTTACCATCTTTACTCCCTATTTTTTTTTCTATACCAAACAAGTCATTATAAAAAATAAAAATATTCAATATTTATTTTTTATCCAATTAGAAATATTTAATCTTTCCATATTTTTTAAAAGAATAAAATTAGAGGGTTAATTTATTCTTTTACTTAAGAAATAATAATTTTTTCAAGCATCAATTTATTCGTAAAAATACATTTAATTATGGATACATTTTTAAATATAATACCTAAAAAGGTAAATATATTATTGTATTAAACTCTAGAAAAATATTATTTTTATTTTTGAGTGTTTTGGAGATTTTACTTTCCCTATTTATACATTATAGTCAATAAATATTGAAACAAAACATATATTTGTCATGAGGGAAATTAAAAGAAGAATAATAAAAACAATTAAAAAAATGAAAATTTATTTAATTAATATTGAAGATAATTTTGAAAATACATAATTTAAGACGAATGTAATGACATTGACAGAAAATTAATTTTAACAATTGGTTCAGCCAATTTTATGGAAATACTGAAGAAGTATTAGTAAACTCTTTTAAAACAATGATTGAGATAGAAGTTATAAAGTTGTAGTTGAATTCCATTGAATTAGTGTCACTTTTCTTTGATTGCTATGGTTTTTATAATTGTTGTAGTTGTTTTGTAAGATACACACACATAATATAAGATAAATTCTAATTAGTTCATTTTTATTAGTTTTTCCGTATCTGTTTTTCATTTTTCTTTCTCAATGCTTCGTGGTTCCTTTTATCAAATTATAACTTGATTTGATTTATTTTAGCTTTGTGTATATATAAACGAATTTATGTTAAAGAAAAAAATTTAACATCAGTCTTGTCCTGTATTTAAAATAGTATTAAATAAAAATCGATATATTTAAAATATAACAATTATTAATTTTAAAACGTCTTATACAAAACTAAAATAAATTTAACCTGGTCCTAAATCTCACATAATTAAATAGTTTTCTTACAAGGTTATCTTCTTAGCTCGACTGTTTTTAAATGTAATAAAGTTAATAATTTTAAATATAAAAAATAGTTATTACATTTTAAAAATAATATATTTTTATTAAATATTATAAATATTTATGTTTAATATAATTAAAATATTTCATTTTATCTTTATAAATTATTAATTATTTTATTCATTTTTGATAATTTGGATAGTACATTAATTTTATGTAAAAATTTATTAACTAATATTGTGAAAATTTATGTCATCTACTAATTAATGTGAAACACAATTAATGATTCTGATTATATATTATAATAGTTTTATGAAATAGATTTTTTTATAATTAAATTTGGATAAAATATTTTAATTTTATCAAATATTAATATTTATAATAATAATAATTATAGAAAAGTATATTTTATTTTTAAAAGTTATTATTAAATAATTTTCAGTACAAAATTTTCTGTTATACTTTTTGTGCATACTAATAATAATACAATTAAATCTAGTGTAAATTAATAGAACACTGACTAGCAGATAATCCTAAGTTTTAATTTTTCTGTGACACTTTTTTATTTTGCTGGCATTGTCTTTCCATCAATTAAGTAAATAAGAAAATTCAGCCCTACAATAAGTTAATATAATTTATCAGTAAAAATCTTACATTGGTTTTTATTTAATTGTATTTTGTTTATTGTAGCTATCTTTTTCACACCTTTCTAATCCTGTAACAATATTTTGTCTATTTGAACATGTTCCTTTGGCTATGACACAGATAAATCTGTTCCAACATCTCTTACTTAAATTTTTTTATATTAATAATAATTTAATTTAATTTTTAAATTTAAAATACAAAATATATTATTGACTTATTTATATAAAAAGTATTTATAATATTATTATTTTCTTTTTCAAATTGAAATGTTTAATTGAAACTTCTATTAATAATAAGATTAAAATAAATAAATAAGTAAATAATGAGTTAATAAAATAATTAATAAATAACTTATATAATAATAAATTAAAGTGTTTATTTTAAGATGTGGAACAATCTCTGCAAGCATGTCACTTATTTTTATTGATTTATCTACATTTTGTTTATCTCTTAGTATATTTTATATTAATCCGAAAAGCAAAAGAGAGAGAGAGAATAGAAAAAGAAAAGAAAAAAAATGAAGAAGGAGAAGAAGAAGAAGAAGAAAAAAAAGGTCACTGTTAGAGGCAAAAGCTTGACATCGACCCTCTCTTAACCCCCCGCATCCATCCCATATGCTTCAGTGGGCACCGCATCTCTCTCACCGTGAAAGACAACCACTCACAAACTTTTTCCAACAGAATATAACTTAAATTCATTAATATTATTTAAACACTTCAAATCTTTACTCTTCCTCCTTTCTCCCCAAGAGAAGAGAACAGAATCTATGCCCACCATGTGTTTCATCCATGGCCAAACACTATGACCCCACTCATCATTTTTTTTCAACCAACAACCTATTTTTCATTTTTACTTTTACATTCAAATTTTCAAATATTATATTCATCTATCTTTCTTCCATTAATCATAAAAAATAAATTAATTTACTTGTTTTTTTAGTAAACTCTTATCATTTATTAATTGTTTTTGTTTCTATAACTTTTTTATTGGTTGAAATAATTCATTAGGTATACCCTTAATCTTTAATACAGATTGAAATCACATTATTTTATAAAATAGAAAAAAATATTTTTTTGTATTTTAAAATGAAACTTATTTAATTTATTGTTTTTATATGGAAAAACTCAACTGTGTACGGATTATGGCCAACTTTATCCGTACACCTAATGTCTGTTAATAAATTTCAAAACAATATTTCATAATATTTTCTATAATGTAAATTTTAGTTCAATTTTTATTACGAAAAATTATTTAACACAAATTCATTACTTTTAAAATTATTATTTTAAGAAACAATGCATGTATTAGTAAAATAAACAAAGTTTTATGTCATTATCAAATCATGAATATTTATGCATATAATAATTGATTGACATATTTAACCAGTAATTTACAAAAACTAAACTGTTTTAATCATATTAAAAGGCCATACCACCACTAAGTGTGAATTACTTAAAAACAAAAGATCAGTCTAATTTAATTACGATCTTAAGCTTCAATCTTGATATATATAAGAACGGTATTGTAATTTATTAATGATTTGAATGAGTTATCTGTTTTGGAAACACTAAGCTCTTACATAAATCACAAAATTTATGGGTGAAAAAGTTATATTTATTTTAAGATGTGTGAGAATATAACTGTTGATTAAAAATAAAAATTTGTTAAAAAGAAAATGGTCATCTCCCCACAAAAACAGCAGCATCCTCTTCTCTTGATGATGAACTACTTCAAACCCAACACTTGCAAACCTCACTCACTTCACTCCCTCTCTCCCTTCTTCTCTCTTCTCTTCTCCTCTCTTCTTCTTCTTCTTCTTCTTCTTCTTCTTCTTCTTCTTCTTCTCCCAACTTTCCCTTCTCCCAATAACTACTTCCTCCCTTCAACTCCATACCAAACATCATCACAAATACTTTTCTTATCACCATATATCTTATTCTTTTTATTCTTTTTATTGTTTGTGTTATTATTATAACTATAATTATAATAATATAAATAAAAAAACATTTTTGCATATATGCTCGCCGGCGATGCCGACGCCGGTAAGCACCGCGAGGCAGTGTCTGACAGACGAGGCGGCGCGTGCACTCGACGACGCCGTCACAGTTGCCCGCCGCCGCAGCCACGCCCAGACCACCTCCCTCCACGCCGTCTCCGCCCTCCTCTCCCTCCCCTCCGCCGCGCTCCGCGATGCCTGCGCCCGCTGCCGGAGCTGCTCCTACTCCCCCCGCCTCCAGTTCCGCGCTCTCGAGCTCTCCGTCGGCGTCTCCCTCGACCGCCTCCCCACCACCAAAACCGCCTCGGACGGCGGTGCCGGCGACGAGGGTCCCCCTGTCTCGAACTCCCTCATGGCCGCCATAAAACGCTCTCAGGCGAACCAGCGCCGCCATCCGGACAGCTTCCACCTTATGCAGATGATGCAGCAGCAGCAGCATCATCAAACGACGTCGTTGCTGAAAGTCGAACTCAAACACTTCATTCTCTCTATTCTGGACGACCCTATCGTGAGCCGCGTCTTCGGGGAAGCCGGTTTCAGAAGCTACGACATCAAGCTCGCACTTCTTCAACCACCTCCACCTGCAAGAATCTTCTCGAGGTTAACCCCTCCGGTTTTCCTCTGCAACCTCGAACCGGTTCAGACCGGTTCGCTGCTCGACGAGAATTGCCGCAGAATCGTGGAAGTGGTGACGAGGAAGAGTAAAAGGAACCCTCTTTTGATGGGGGTGTACGCGAAAATCGCTCTCAAGAGCTTCATCGATTGCGTGGAAAATCGTAAAGGTGGGGTCTTGCCCTGTGAACTGAATGGATTGAGTGTGGTTTCGGTGGAGAAGGAGGTTGGGGAGTTCTTGAGGGAAGGTGGGAGCGGAGGGAAGATTTTCGAAGATGTGGGTCGTTTGGTGGAGCAATGTTCTGGTGCTGGGGTTGTTGTGTGTTTCGGGGAGATTGAGAATTTTGTCGGGGGGGATGAGGAGGGTGTTGGGTTTGTGGTTTCGCAGTTGACGAGGTTGTTGGGGGTTCATGTTGGGAAGCTGTGGTTGGTGGGCGTGGCGAGAACCTCGGAGGCCTATTCTAAGTTCCTGAGGTTGTTCCCTACAGTGGACAAGGATTGGGATCTGCATCTCCTGACCATGACCTCTGCCACCCCTTTCATGGAAGGGCTCTACCCCAAGTCCAGGTGGGTTTGTTTCTCCCTTTCTCCTTTCTTTATTATTGCTTGCTTTTCCTTCCTTCTTTCCACTTTCTTGTACTCTCTTCACTTCTAAATTGGAACCTTTCTGTACTATTTATTTACTCTATTTTGGGTTGGGGTTAGTAAATGACAATAATAAAAAATAATATTAATATTTTATATGAAAAGGTGGTGGTATTTTTAGATGTGTGCGAGTGTGTGTAACATTTTTTTTTTTTTTTAAGGAAATAGTTGACAAACAAATGTTCAGGTGTAGACTGAAGTTTTCTGACTAGTCCGTTTTGTGTTGAAATCTTTCACTTCCTTCTTGACTTAATTTATGATCCCATTGGTTTGCTGCTTTAAGTTTCTTCCTACTTTAAACTGTCACTTTTTAAGTTGTGTTGTTTGGTTACAGTGGAAACATTAATAGTCATAATTAATTTTTAATCTACCTCTATCATTACACATTCATGGTTCTGATTAATGAGTTTTTTTGGATTAGGAGAAAAATTTCATAATTTTTTTTACTGAGGTGAAGTTCATACTTCTCACTGGGAACGAGTCAATCTGAATTCCGAAAGTTTTCCTCTAATTACGTTCATAGAATCTGGAATGGTCGCATTCAGTATTGATTAGCATGATCTATATCTTGGCATGTAGAGAATCTGCAGAGATTTAATATATACAGGCTTGCACTGTAGTAAATGTTATTTCTATAGGCAGGCTTTTCGGCTGAATGCTGTAATAAATGCTTCTTCTTTTTCAGTTTTTCTGCACCCCTGGCCCACGGGCCCCTCCACTCCTTGGGGTTAAGCACTCTATCAATATACCTTAAAGATGGTCTTTTATAGAGCCATCAAACTTCATACCCTGTAATAATGATATATTATATGTATGGGTGTATTTATTTATTGCTTTCTGCACTTCCAAAGTATTTATCTTCACCTTTTTCATTCTAAAGTAGGTATTTCCGAATGTGAAAATTACATTCTTGAATATTCCATAAATAGGTATTTCTGAATGTAGAAATTACATTCTTGAATATTCATATTGGAATGAAAAAAAAAACATATGGGCCAGAAGGAATGCCTGTATAATATATCATTTTATATTTTGGTTGATGATATTGATATATACATTATATATATTTAAAAAAATGGATATTTAAATATGCTAAAATTTGTTTACATATAAGTTAATTTTTATAAGTCTTTTAAAATATTTTTTCTAAATTTTTACTTTTAATTTGTATGAGTTAATTTTCCTAAATATTTATACATATTTTTTCTGAACCCTGAGACTTGTTCTGATTCTGGTGAGGTTCTGTGACCTAAATCACTTAAGTTTTATTTGTGACCTAACTCACTTAATTTTTATTTTTCTAAAAGAAATCTATTGGTGGGTGTGGTGATGCTTTAGAAGTCTATCGCATCATGTGCAATTTAGCTTCTGACAGTTCTGTGGCTATTGGATGTAAAAAGTTCACACACTTGATGGTAACCTTGCAGCTTGATGGGGTCCTTTGTGCCATTTGGTGGGTTCTTTTCTACACCTTCTGAGATGAAAAATCCCGTTAACTGTACGAATGCAACATCTTTAACACGGTGTGACGCATGCAATGAAAAGTGTGAACAAGAGGTTGCTGATATTTTGAAGGTAGGCCCTGCTACTTCAGCATCTGGTTACTCAACGAGCTTGCCTTGGTTACAAAAGGTTAATGTGGAGACAGATAGAGGATTGGATGTGGCAAAGGTGTGTGTGTTATGAACCCTAATCAATCTTGTTTTCCCTTCTTCAATGCATGCAGAGACATTCACATGCTCACACACATACATGCAACATCTTGGGGGGAATTGCTGTACTGAACTGACCCACTAAAATAACTTAGAGGTACGCAATAATAATAAATGCACACAACCCTACAATGGTGAACAAAGAATTCAAATTTTCCCATTAAGACAACGAGGTATAGTGATCCAGGTGTAAGGAAGTATAAATATATAGTATTCCTCTAATCTATTTTGGTTCTCAGAATTCTTTTTTTTTTCTTTCTGTGGAGCTTTTGGCTTTTGCCGCTCAAGTATCTGGAAGTTGATTAAGACATGAAAGCATGCTGTATATCAACATGTTTATATTTTTAAAATTTTAATACTTTGCTCCTACGTTACACACATGATATTATAATATTTAGCACTTCAACCATAAGCTTTCTAACAGTGTTCTTGTCTGCATTAGTTGAAGAACTTCCTCTGAGTTTGAATGTTGTGAAATGAGAAAATCATACTCTATTATTATACGAGAAAACTCAGGTGGAACATATGCAAAAGTTCTTCTAAAATATTCTATCAAGAAAAAATATTGTGAATTACTATATCATAGATAATAATCAATTTGTCCTATAAAGTTATTTGTGCATGACTGCATTGCTCCTTCACCAATCATGGTCATTTAATTAGTCCCTCAAAGATTTAAATCGTTACCATATTTATCCTCCAAAGATGCTATATATATGATATTAGTCTTTTAAACATCTGATTTCTCACCAAATTATTCAGTCGAAGGTCTTAACTGACACCATGTTGATAAAATGGTGGAATTAAAATATTTCTTTATGAATTAATTTGGCAATATGTTAAACCTTTGAGGGGAAAAATCTAAAGTATCATTGTCATTGTGTTATAGACTATCAGTGCGGGCAAAAAAAATCTTTGAGAAACTAATTTAGCAACAGATTAATTCCTGAAGAGACTAATTTGGTGGTTATAATGGTAAGATTCTCTAAGAATCTATTTGTGAAAAATATTTTCGAACAAGTGACTGTGTTGAGGACTAAATTGGGGGTTCTCTATATAACATCGTTTTTCTCAGGTTCATACTCGTTGTCAATGATATTGTTTTGCATCATGTGCCATGCCTTCATTGATTCAATTTCTGGCTGTATTTATTTAAGAACGAACTTCATCATCCAGTGCAGACTAATGAAGAAAACACAATTTTGAATGGAAAGATCTTCGGATTGCAAAGGAAATGGAGCGATATTTGTCAACGTCTTCATCAAAACCGATCATTACCTGAATTTGATATTTCTAAAACAAGGTTCCAAGTTCCTTCCCTTGAGGGGTTTCAATTTGGTCCAGGAAGTAGCAGCAAAGGTCCACTCCATAGTGAAATCCAATATTCTAAAATCTCTTGCATGTCTATTGAGTCACAAAGTGCATTTCCATTTAAACAGATATTACCGGTTTCAGTACCTTTTGACACTGTTAGCATAGCTGATGAAGTAGATTACATAGCAAAAGTTTCTAAGAGTGATATGCAGAATACTTGGGTTTCTCCTTCCCCTAAGGCCAATTTGAGTCTACTTGATCACACATCATCTTCATCCTTTACTCCTGTGACCACTGATTTGGGATTGGGAACAATATATAAATCAGCTGCTCATGAGCCAGACACCCCAAAACTAAGTGATCACAAGAAGCATCTCCACAACTTGCCAGATTCCCTTTCAAGTGATTTTAATCCTATGAATGAGAGTACTTCACACCAAATTGCAAGATCTTCTTCATGCTCGGGTCCAAATCTAGAAGGGAATTTTGAAACAGTAGATTTCAAGTCACTTTACCATCTTCTCACTGAAAAGGTAGGCTGGCAGGATGAGGCAATATATGCAATCAATCGAACTGTATCACGTTGTAGATCTGGTGCTGGAAAGCGCAGTAGTGGCTCACATGTTAGAGCAGACGTATGGCTTGCATT